TCCCTTCCTCTTTTCTTTCCCTCCCTCCCTCTTCCTTCCTCCCTCCTTCCCCTTACTTCCTCCTCCCTCCCTTCCGTTATCTTCCTCCCTCCCTCCCTTTCCTTCCTTCTTTCTTCCTCTTGCTTCCTCCCTTCCTCTTTTCCTTCCCTCCCTCCTTCCCTCTCCTTCCTTCCTCCTCCCTCCCTTCCCTTCTCTTCCTCCCTCCCTCCCTTCCTCTTTTCTTTCCCTCCCTCTTCCTTCCTCCCTCCTTCCCCTTACTTCCTCCTCCCTCCCTTCCTTCCTTCCTTCCTTCCTTCTTTCTTCCTCTCTCGCTTCCTCCCTGCCTCTCTACCTGCCTCTTTTCCTTCCCTCCTTCCCTCCCCTTCCTTCCTCCTCCCTCCCTTCCCTTATCTTCCTCCCTCCCTCTTTTCCTTCCTTCCTTCTCTTTCTTCCTCCCTCCTCCTCCCTCCCTCCCTTCTTTCCTTCCCTCCCTCCCTCCCTCCCCAAGCAGATCGAGGCTGGGTTGACTCTGGATCTCAACCCACGACCTCCAAAAGCCGGGACCCGAATCCAGACCCCGCGTTTGCTTGGCCTGCTTCCTGAGCCGGCGTCCCCATCAGCTTCCCAGACGTTCAGACGTCCGGCCTGCTTTAACCCTGATTTTAAATCTTGCCTGCCGTCCTGAGCCGGGATTGAGTGAGTGAGTGGACAGTGTGTGGTTGCGTGCCCTTGTCCGTCCGTCCGTTTTACGCTCCTTCCGAGAGGGAGTTTTGTAATTCTATGCAAATCGGTCCACCTCCTTCAATACAAAAGGATTTGCTTCGGGCTGGCGTGTTTGGCTTTCTTCCTCTCCAGACCCGACGTGGTCCTCGTCTTACGACTGCAACGGAGCCTAACGTTTCCGCTTCTAAGCGAGACGGCCGCTAAGCAAGCTTTGCCCCATTTTACCACCTTTCTCGACACAGAGGTTAAACTTCGACCGTCGTTAAGTGTGAAAACCGGCCGTAAGCCCCCTTTTCCCGGTGCCGTTGTAACTGAACGGTCACAAAACGAATGCTCGCAAGCCGAGGACTTGCTATACAGGCTTACGACCACAGCTGAGCTCAAAATCTCCGCGTTAAGCGAGGCATTCGTTAAGCGACTCCTTCCCATGTTACGATTTTTCTTACCGCCGTCGTTAAGCGAATCACTGCGGTTCTTCATTTAGTAACACGGGGTTGTTAAGCGAATCCGTCTCCCCCCCCCAATTGACTCCGCTTCTCGGACGGTCGCGAAAGGGGGGAATCCCGTGACCCCGGGACACGGCGACCGTCATAACTCCGAGTCAGTTGCCGAGCTGACGTGACCACGGGGATGGCTGCGATGGTCGTAAGTGCGAAAAACGGTCCCAAGTCCCTTTTTTTCAGCGCCGTCGTGACTTCGAACGGTCACTAAATGGGACTGTTGTAAGTTTAGGACTTCCTGCAATAAAGGTGGGTTTTTTAAAACAAAGGAATAAATAAATAATCCTGATTAAATAAATGAGAGAACTAGCCAGCAGAGAGACCCCCAAGGGCTGGAGAATGTGGCCTTTTGGTTTTAATCAGGGAGGGTGACCGGCAGTGATTGACAAAGGCAAAACACAACACAATCCGGCGTTCGGCCAGTTCATAAGTGCGAAAAACGGCCGTACGGCCCCCTTTTTCCCCAGTGCCGTCGTAACCCTGAACCGTCACTAAATGAACATATTAAGTCGAGAACTTAACAAAAACCATGCTTCTTGAATTGGGGGGTTGACCCTTAAATCTTGGGGGGGAAGTGCCCAAACTGTGAAAGGCCGCTGAAAGTATGCAACACACACACACACACACACTGCCCCCTCCCCAGGCTTAGTCCTTGCCATCCAACCTCTGCATTAAACCATAGTTTGCTTTGTCGCGTGTGAACTCGGGCGTTGTCACCCACAAAACCACCACCGTACGGATGACGTGGTCCTCTAACCCACCCACCCAAATGTCCATCTGGTCAATATTTTGCCCAGGTTGGCATCTGAATTTGAAACTAGGGGGGGGTTCTTAAATGCCCCCCTAGGGTTCAGACCCCAGACTCGGGAAGTGAGGGCAAGGCAAACATTTCTTGAAGACATGGCCTTGGGATTCTCGGATTTGAGACCACCTGGTAACCACCATCACACCAGCAAGCCATCGGCAACAAGCCAAACAGCTGTCCAGGCTTCCTCTTTGGGCCTCAAGAGCTGCTGGTTGGGCCCACCAGTTCCAGTGGGTGTTATCTGGGCCAGAAGAAGCAGCCATCCAGATGACACGGTCCGGTCAGTTTCCCTTCATCAAAAACGATCCTGTGGTCCCATAAGCTGCAGGACTGGGTGACAACGGTGATCCGTGGATTGGGATCTTCTATCTCTTCCGTCCGGTTCTGCGACGCCGCAGCTCGCTCCCTCCTCCTTTTTGCTACCAAAAAATCCTTGGAGGCTGCAGGAATTCGGAAGCCGGAACGCTGCTGGCGTTGACCGGGATGGAAATCACGGCCCAAGGGAGCCCGTGCTGCTCCAGAGAGCGACGGATCATGTACCTGGGTAAAAGTAAGGCAAGGGGGGGGGGGTATTTATTTATTCTTTATTTTTTATTTATTCTTTATTTTATTTAGAGAACTTCTATAGCTCGTAGCAGCTCTAGGTGGTTTACAGACGAGAAACTGGAAAAAATATAATAATAATAATATAATAAAGACAGCAGAATAGATGAGAAAGAACTGGAGAAGATCACAAAATACAAAGACCTACAAATAGAAATAGAAAGACTGTGGCAAAGGTAAGCAAGGGTGGTACCATTAGTAATAGGCGCCTTGGGTGCAATCCCAAAACAACTGGAGCACCACTGGAACACCATCATCGGCATTGACAAATTCGCCATCAGTCAATTGCAAAAGGCGGCCTTACTAGGAACTGCTTCCATCCTGCGACGAGATCTGTAATACCATCAAACATCCACATCTGCCTATCCCAGGTCCTGGGTAAGGACTCGATAGGTAGACAAAATGCCAAATCCAGTCTGAACATCTGGCTGACTGTGCGATGATCAATAATAATAATAATGTAAAATAAAATAATAAAAAATATAGCAGCAACAGCAGCAACTCTAAAAAGGAACAGAATCCTGCAATTTTTCTCCCAACTAAAAGCTGTCACAAATCACCAAATCCTGATATAGGCAGTCCTCATCTTAACCACCACGAATTGAGCCCCAACATTTCTGTCGCTAAGCGGGACGTTTGTTAAGTGACTTTTGCCTCGTTTTACGACCGTTCCTGCCACAGCTGCGAAGTGAATCACTGCAGTTAAGTCAGTAGCACGGTTGCCCAAGTGAATCGTTGTGGTCGTTAAGCGAGCAACTTGGTTGTTAAGTGAAGCTGGCTTCCTCATGGACTTTGTCCGAATGTCACAAAAGGGGATCGCGTGGACCCCCCGGGGGACACCGCGACCGTCATAAATACGAACCGGTTGCTGAGCGTCTGAATTTTGATCAACTGACTGCGGGGGAATGCTGCAACGGTCGTAAGTGTGAAACACGGTCCTAAGCCACTTTAAGTGGTTTAGCTGTACAAATGGGGTTTAGGGTCAGGAGAGAGAGGGCGGGTCTCGGCTGCAGCCCCCTGTCACTCACCCGTCTCTCCCCAGCAGGAAAAGGGCCGGGATGTCGGCCCTGGGCTGCATCGTCTCCACGTAGGTTGTGTCCTTGTCGTAACTATTGTCTGCAATGATCACTGCTTGGCCTCCGTGTTCCTGGATCGTGCGAGTCTTGGACAGAAATGAGCAGCCCCTGTTGAAAAAGCCCCCCCCCCAAGTCCATATTTATGCATTCAGATCGGGAGTCCCCAACCTTCCCGGGTCTGTGGGCCGGTGGAGAGGAGATAAAACGGTTCCACGTGAGCGGCAGGGTGTTTGACAATGCACACACACATACACACACACAAATGGTGCTATGGTCACACTGTTATGGTTCCCCTCGTGAGTTCTTGTCTAGGGAGATTCTCCGTCATTTTGGTTGTCCCAAAAGTGCTTTTTCAAAAGTTTTCGTTGAAGACGTTTCCCTTCTCATCCCAGAAGCTTCTTCAGTTCTGATTGAATGGTGGAGGATGGAAGGGTTTATATTCCTTGAGGTCATCTAGTCGTTAGCACCCTCTGAGAGTCGTTGAGGCCACTTGGAGGTTTATCTGTGTTTATCTCCAACGTACCTTGGAGAAACGAAACAACCACTTCACAAACGCCTGGCACAGCGTAGGACAGGGGTAGGCAACCTGGGCTCTTTTATGACTCGTGGACTTCAACTCCCAGAATTCCTCAGCCAGCATGGCTCAGCTTGGAAACCTCCCTTTCCCCTCAGTGTGGCTGGCTGAGGAATTCTGGGAGTTGAAGTCCACGAGTCATAAAAGAACCAAGGTTGCCTCTGGCCTAGGCCTAGGCCGCTTTACAACTTGTGGACTTCAACTCCCAGAATTCCTGAGCCAGCATGGCTCAGCTTGGAAACCTCTCCCTTTTCCCTCAGCGTGGCTGGCTCAGGAATTCTGGGAGTTGAAGTCCACCAGTCCTAAAAGAGCCAAGCTTGCCTACCTCTAATCTAGGCCTAGGCCGCTTTACGACTCGTGGACTTCAACTCCCAGAATTCCTGAGCCAGCATGGCTCAGCTTGGAAACCTCTCCCTTTTCCCTCAGCATGGCTGCCTCAGGAATTCTGGGAGTTGAAGTCCACCAGTCATAAAAGAACCAAGGTTGCCTACCCCTGGCGTAGAAGAACGAACCCCTCAGGACAAGAGTCAGCAGCTCGTCTGCATTTGAAAGACCAAGGCCGCTCTTTCGAAAACAGCAAAGTCCGCATTCTGGACCGAGAGGACCAGTGGTTTGAAAGAGGGCTCCAAGAGACCATCTAGCTCCAAACTGAACAGCCCTTCCTCAACGGAGGGGGAGGGATAACACACACACACTCCCATCTGTTTACAACAAGTCCTTTCAGCAGTTTCAAGAAGGTCCCACATCCATTTGCACCCCTCAGATGACCTTGAGGGCGTAGATGAACCTCCAAGTGGCTTCAACGATTCTCAGAGAGAGTACTAACGCTCAGATGACTGCAAAGAATATAAATCCTTCCATCCTCCACCGTTCAGTCAGAACTGAAGAAGCTTCTTGGAGGAGAAGCGAAACATTTTCGAAACAAAGTCCAGTTGTCTTTTGAAAAAGCACCTTTGGGATGCTTCTTCTTCTTGACCACGTGTCGTGACGTGTCGTGTCGTGGACACCCTTAAATCCAGCACCGTTTCATCTGGACCTGCTCGTTGGTTCGAGGGTCCCTGAAAGATCTAGGGGTGGGCTTCCTGCTGAAATGAACCCCATCCTGGATTCTCCGGCCGAGATTCGAACACGGAGCACGAAAAGCAGCCCGCTGATTTCCACCGGCGTGCGAAAGCAACTCACCCGTGTTCCACCAAGGCGATCTGGCCTTCAATAAAGACCCCGTTGTTCAACGCCCCGCAGGCATCTGGAGGATCGGACGGAACCAGGTAGATCTGCTCGAATCTCATGTTCTGGGCAAGCGGGAGATACAGAAAAGAGGGAAGATTAAAAACCACGGCCTGCAGGGTGGGACCCATCGTCCTGTGCCCAGGAGCGACAAGGTTCGCCCTAACGGCTTCCCCAAATCCATGCACAGCAACTTCTGGGTTTTGTTGATGGGACCCAGGGCGTTACTAAACTCTACACAGCTCCGTATAGGGCCAGATTTATTGGGTCAATCCATGTTTCTCAACCTCCGCAAGTTTATGATGGGTGGACTTCAACTCCCAGAATTTCCCAGCCAGCCATGCACTGATGCTCAGCACTGGTGATGTTACATTGCTGGGTAATGAAATGTCTGCAAGAAAATAACCAAGCTCAGAGAGCACCGAGGACCCCTCGGTCACCCTTCTCCTCCTCTCCCTCTCCCTTCTCCACTCACCATCAGTGCCTTCGAGCACTGATGACATTCCCTAGTTGGGTAATGAAACGTCTGCAAGAAAACAAGGTCAGAGAGCACCAAGGAGTCCACAGGCCTCCTCCTCCTCTCTGCAAACCCCCCTCCCTTCTAGCAATGATGATGTTCCCTAGTTGGGTCCTGAAACGTCTGCAAGAAAACCACCAAGCTCAGAGAGTATCCAGGACCCCACAGTCTTCTTTCTTTCTTTCTTTCTTTCTTTCTTTCTTTCTTTCTTTCTTTCTTTCTTTCTTTCTTCTTCTTCTTCTTCTTCTTCTTCTTCTTCTTCTTCTTCTTCTTCTTCTTCTTCTTCTTCTCCTCCTCCTCCTCCTCCTCCTCCTCNTGCTCCTCCTCCTCCTCCTCCTCCTCCAACACCCCCCCTTCCTTCCAGCACTGATAATGTTACCCAGATGGGTCATGAAACGTCTGCCAGAATATCACCCAGCTCAGCGAGCACCAAGGACCCCACAGTTCAAGCCTACGCTATAAATATTCCCACGTATTAATACCTTTCTCTGATTTTTTTGCTCCCAAACAATCAGCTTGATAAGAAGGCCGAGCCAACGATCGGGACAAGAACTGGGTCAGGTGTGCCATATTCCTTCTCCCCAAATCATCTCCCCACAGATGTGCAGGTGGAGGTCAGGAAAGGTTGCCCTACCAGCAAAGGTCCTCCAGATGTGGCTCAACTACAATCTGGTCCTCCCAGAACCAGACCGACGATGAGAGGAACATCTAGACGACCTCTAGCTGAGGAACATCTCAAGATCTTCCTCCAAACTAGGGTTGCAACCCTGGGAGGGGCAGTTGCAAGAGGGTGCTAATTATTCTTTTAACCCTTTCCTTCCTTCCTTCCTTCCTTCCTTCCTTCCTTCCTTCCTTCCTTCCTTCCTTCCTTCCTTCCTTCTCTCTTCCGGAGACGGCCCTGAGAAGGAAAGGAGAGCTTGGGCACAACGGGCAAGAAAAAGACCCAGTTCTCCAGGGAGACAAGCTGACTTACGAAGACTCCGCCAAAGTCCTTGGCTGGCGTAGCCGTGAAGGTGTAACGGATATCTCCCGGACTGAGGACGTGGAAGTAAAGGTACTCCTGGATGCGTAAACCTGGCAATCGGCAGAGAGAAAGAGGAGCGTGGATGTCTTCAGAAGCCAGGAAAACAGACATTCCCCCAAAGGGTGTGATTGTCGTGACACTTGAAGGAACTGCAGTTTAAGCCCAGAAGCCGTGCATGAGTGGTTTGTCTCTGTCTCTCCCCCCTCTCCCTCCCTCCCTCCGTCTTCCTCTCCCCCTCCCTCTCTCCCTCTATCTCTCCCTCCATCTCTTTCTCTCCCCCTCTCCCCTCCCTGTCTCCCTGCCTCCTCTCTCCCTTTCTCCCTCTCTCCCCTCACTCTCTCCTCTCTCCCCGTCTCTCCCTCCCTCTCTTCTCTCCTTCTATCTCTCCCTGTCTCTCCATCTATCCTTCTCTCTCTCCCTCTCTCCCTTCCCTCTGTCCCTCCCTCCTTCTCTCTCCCCCTCTCTCCCCTCC